TGTCTTATTTGCACGTCTTAACCATCTGCAAATGATGAATTTGGTGAGAAAAACAAATTTTAAATGCCAAAAATAATAAAAGGGCTTATTGGCATATTTTTCAGATGTTCTGCCCACAACCAAAACAACAATGGAGCAGTTTTTACAGGTTTTATGACTGCACCGGTTTGTCTTGGTATTGTCGCCATTAAACTTTGACTCTATGTTGAAATGGATAATAACTGACAATAAACTGTAAATGTTATTACAAGAACATTTTTTTCAAGCTCAGACTATTCTCACTTTGTATTTTGTGTGTTGTTAAAGGAGACATATATCATGCTTTTGTTTCTCACATTTAAATCATGCAGTTGGGGTCTATATAAAGTGGAACTGCAATGCTTTGGTCTGAATCCTTCCTCATTGTAACTCCACAACCCCCCCTCACTCCTTTTCTGAGGTGTGTCTCAGATCAACTCATTTTAAGGCTGTTTCTTTAAATCCAAATGAGGTGCTTCACACCCCGCCCCCCTCCAGCTTCCAAAGCGATCCATTCTAGTTTGATAGAGGAGTTTATGACTATATAGTGGAACAGAAACCCAGATAAGAGAATGAAGATGATCAAATTGTAGTTGGTAAGTCCAGACCTTATCAGTCACAAATACTGTGATGTAATAGTTCTAAAAAAAACATAAAAGAAAATACAGAAAAATGAACGGGTTGAAAAATACAACCCAAACCGAATATAAAGATATCTACGCAGCGCCGGGGGAAACTAAATTCAACATTTCTGCGCTCCTAGAGACTCCAAGTACACAACAAAATCCATTTAATGGCTAAAAAAAGGTGGATTTTTGGACAATATGTCTCCTTTAATGTTGTCATTTTTGCCACAAGTTTTTCATCACACCTGTTAGTATTGTGTGAACAGAGTCTTCTATGTGAACTGAGAAAATATTAGTTAAAAATATTCAGAGTAAGGGTTCGATACACGGGAGGCGACGTCGCTCGCTCTCCATTCATTTCCTATGGAGCCTGTGCGGTGAAGCGACAATCGCTTGCCCTCCTCCAGCTAAGCGACCGGCGAAAATAGGGCATGTGAAATTTCGCGCTCGTACACGTAGACGTGCACACACAAGCTTGCGATGCGACATATGAAAGTTGAAAAATGTTCAACTTTTGTCGCTGTCGCTTAGCGTACAACCAATCAGCGAGGGTTTTATTGACTGACCAATGAGAGGAGAGTATGCTACACACTGCCGTTAGCTAACACTTTCACCAAGTGATTACTAAAAAGCTTTGTGGGAATTTATTGGCAMCAGGGTGAAGTTTATGGTAAGTTTTTCCTCATAAAACTGTATCTTGATGTGTGTTTGTTTTTCAGTATCATTAACATCGCAAGATTTGTTTGGTTTACACGTCCGTAATGCACACCCGCCTTCAGAGTCGAGAACCAATCAAATTTTGTGAAGACAAGCGACCTGAGAGCGCGATTCGCAACGCTGTGATCGCTATCGCGTCCCGTGTGTCGGGTTTTCACCCTGGCTGCGATGACAGCCGCTAATCGCTGTAGTTTGTCGCTGCCGTGTCGAGCCCTGATGATGGGACCTAAAAGAACTCAACGTGACTGATGAATAATCCTGATCATGCCCTTTTTTTCCTTCACGGAGCATTCTGCGTTCTGATCCATGGCATCTCAAATGACCACAACAAAACTGAGTCGAACGAACGTCTCTGTTTCTTGAGCGAAGCTGTGTTTGACAGTGTGCTTGCGTAAAAACTGAAACAGAAGCATGTATTTTCTGCAATGTGAGTGAGGAACAGCGGGCAGATATTCGTTGCACAGCTGAGATCCAAGCCACAGATATTTCCAAAATATCCACGTCTCGACCGCGCTGCACAGCTTCCAACAGCAAATGAAAAACAGACTGTGAGGAGAAGATAGGAAGTGCAGATTTTTGGGGGGATTCTGTGTGCAAAAGTGGACATTGGTCACAGCAGGAGTTGCGTTACAACCTATTCCGTTGCCACCTGCTGAGACACAAATAGGTACTGTGGTGTGACTCTCATCCAAAGAAAACCCTTACAGGAATGTTTAGGGTGCAGACAATAAAACAATGAAATTAAAAAAAACATTCTTGCATTTAAAAAGAAAAGCACAACGTGGGCCCCACGTGAAGTTGGTGACATAACTGTGGTGCACAATAATAATGTTCCACTGTAGGCACAATCAAATTGCACAAAGTTCACATTTTCTCAACTCAGGACAGTCAAGCTCAGCAGTAGCACAGACAACTCACACTGAGCTCACACACACACACACATACGCACACGCGCCAACCAGGCATTAAGACAGGGAGTTGGTCTATCAAAAAGGTACAAACAGGATTATCATGCACTTTATAGATTTCTGGGAGAATTCTTTGTCAAACGCACAGACGGACGTCAACATCCTCCACAATAAGTGCTTTCAATGTTGTTGCTTTTTCTCTGCAGCTGATGACACGTCTGCAAGTATTGATCGGCATGCTTGGATGGTAATTTACAAGCTTCTCTTTCCTTTTTTTTTTCTTTTGTAGGAGCAGTTTTTGTTTGCTAGTCACAACACCAGAATTACTCAGCAACAAGAAAATGCCAAGAGCCACCAATAGCTTTGTCACATATGGCGACGGCGGGAGGGAGACATGCTGCTGCGAGGTGCACCACAACGCAAAGTCAGAGCAAAGTGCTAGCTGCCACACAGAGGGAGCGCGGGGCGAGGGCCAAAAACTAAACAAAAAAAATAAAATAAAAAAAGGAAAGGGCAGGGATCTGCAGCCCTCTATCTGCATAGTGAACATTACAGTTTTTCTCACTGAAGCCATGACACAGCACGCAAGAGCAAACTAGCTGGGTGGAGCCGCGAGGAGGAGGAGGAGGAGGGGTGGAGAGGGAAGCAAAACATGGAGCAGGTGCCTCTCCCTGGACAGTTCTGGAAGAGGGTGTCTTTGGTGTCGAGAATCAAACGTGCAATGCGAGACTCTGAAAGCTGAAAGAAGTAAACGAGCAGGCGGGGGGGG